TTAATTTTGTAGTTATTAAAGTTAATTGGATTAAAGTTTTATAACTTAGAGTTAGGTAAAAGCCAAAGGACATTTGATACATTTTGGTATTTATTGCGCATGTAACACGGACACCAAGTCAAATGTTACGAACAAAACACGACTTATATTTCCGATTACCTCAAATAGATTTCAGTTGCCGTTGGGGTGGCTTAGATTATGAATTAATCCTCACAGTCAGTATACATTAAAGGGTTGACGTGAACTTAATAAGATGAGGGTGGGGACAATCTTTAAAATGTGCGTGTTCTGTTACGATCGTAACACAACTGTAAATGTATATGTAGCCAGTTTTATGTTGTGCTTCAAAGACATGCCACAGGTTTCATCAATTCACGAAAAAAGCAATTTTGATAGATAAAGATCGCAAATCATAGGTGTTCACCATGCGTAAGATACATGTAATATGTGTTCGTTGCTGAAAGACACCATGTCTAAAGTGTCGTCTTCGTTACGACCTTCACATCTTTCTCGCCAGGATACGTAAGCCCTGGAGGGACATGTTTAGTTACTACTTATTTATCATAAATTATGCCGCGGTGTTCTCACGGAGACCCTGGCGATTCTACGGAGCTCCATGGCGTTCTACCGTGTTTCTACGGATTTCTAGTTAGCGACTGTCTGCGCTCTCATGGCGTTCTCACGGCGGTTCACTGTGTGCATCGAGTTGTCACGGCAAGCGCACTGCATGTGCACTGCGTTTTCACGGCGCTCACACTGCGCTGACTGCGTTTTGTTTTGCACTACCTATAAAACGATATCTCCATCAGTTCTCCATTCTGCCTCATTTGGTGATTTGAAGACGCAACCTATCTAGGAGCTCGTCGAACATGACGGGTGGCACTCGGAGGTAGTTGAAATAACTGGCAGGGTCCTCATATCGCAACTCAGGCATGAGCCGATGATAGTAACCATGGCTGGACGAAGGCAGACGGTTGCAGCAGACGAACCCAAAGCCGCCTACGCCTTGAGGCCCTCCTCCGTCGTCTTCTAAGAATGAGATCCACAGCGTCTGCATCATCCTGGATCTGCTGGACCTGCAAATAGGCAAGCAGTAGCCCCGCTATATGTTGCTCATCAGTCCAAGTGAAATGAATGCATATTTGAATATATCATTCCTTTATACTATTTTGTTGGGTTGGTTCATTGTCATTGACGCGGTAGAAGCGCACTGGGAGCGCAATGATCAACGTGGCAGCTCCGTACAATCGTTGTAAGTGCGCAGTAAGAAAAATAAAACTCCTTGTAAGCGCCGTAGACGCGCCGTATAAGCGCGGTAGAGACGCAGTGTCATCTCGGAGAACGCCGTACGATCGCCGTGCAAGCGCCACCGATAACCATTGCGATCGCACTGCGACCTCTGTGCGCGCCCACGGCGATCCTGTGGCGTTGTAGGAGACCTAACTCACGGCGATCCAACTGCGCTCTTATCAGAACGCCGAGCAACGGCGTTTGTTTTGGGCATGCTCAAAGTGCGAGCCGTCGCTCGGCGTTCTATGCGATCCCACCGCGTTCACTGACGATGCCACTGCGTTGCCGCGGCGATGCTTGCGATTCCACTGCGCGCAGATCGGTGTTCTGGATTTTTCTTGGAGAAATAAGTATCAAGAAATAGGTTATCACAAATAAGAATTAACAAATTACAAATAAGTATTAACAAATTAGTTTAAACAAATAAATAATAACAAATAAGAATTAGCAAATAACTAATAACAAAAATGGACTTTTGATAGTTTCTAGACAATTGAATACTCGACGGTATTCCACAACGGAGCATACACACAAAATGATGAATATGAATAGAATACTTGATAAGAAATATCTATAACAATATTAATAATATAGTAAATAATTATTATAATATAATACATTAGTATTCATAATAATTAATTACAAATAAGGAATAACAAATAAGTAGTTACAAATAAATGCTAACAAATAAGTGGTAACTAAAAATGTCCCTCCAGGGCTTCCGTACTAGGAGACATCAAAAGCGGATGTCATTTAAACTATCAATACAAACGCACTTTCTAGCTATTCGTGTTATAAAGCATCAAGTGACCTAAAAGTTTAAAATGTACATCTCGTCACGGTGGTAACATATAACCGCTGGACAGGAAACGGTTGTCATTTAAGCCAGTACGCAAAAAAACTCACCAGAGTAACATACCATCTAGGTGGATCTATATTTAGATTTTAGGTTTTCCAGTTACTTTTCTTGAGACATGTTTTGTTCATAACGATTTGGACGACAATCAGGATGCCGATGTTCATTGCATGATTGTCTTAAGTTTAACAATATACAGCAAGAGGATGCCTTCTCCTTTCGTTTTCAGTGATTATGATACAGTTCGTGTAAATTTCCGTATGAAACTATCATTATTTACATGAAAAAGATTTATCAGAATGTGAACAGAGGGACACGAAGAGCTACGAACGAAACGACTTCCTTCAATGTCATATTTTTCTTTATTCTGTGCGAGTATGTACAATTTTATTTCTCCAATACGTGCATTGTTATCTTTTCTTTACATTGTATCATTATCTTCATAATAATAGGACACTCTGTGATTTATACAAAGGTCTTTTTCAACGCCTCGCTTCAAATTAATGTCACAATTCGGAGTGAAAATACATGCCGATTTCGGCGATAATTTGTACGGGATTTTTTCTGCTTTTGGAACTTATTCAAACATTATCCATTTTTATCTCTTTGAGAAATACTTAAGACAATAACAGTGTGAAAGAACTATGGCGGATAACTGCCCATATTTGCCTAATCCGGCATTTATGAAAACGAAAACAATTATTAACGAGTAAATAGTAGCGAAAATGCATGGAATAGATATAAAACCCATTGAATATGAATTTTCGAACTGTTGAGATATTCGGTACTGTTATTATAATACTTCAAATATAGCCATATTCACAATAGCTATGAAAGTGACGGGGGTCATCTAGACTTAAAACAAAAAGTGATAAAATAGAGCCCTTCTCTCGTGCCAGTTTGGGGCGAGGTCCGTCGAGCGAGTTTCTTTGTTTAAGAGCGAGTGGGTTATTAGTACGCTCGGCGGACTCCGCATTAAACTGACATCGGTGCAGGGTTCTGTTTAGTAATACGTTTCGATATGATGTTTTAACTTCTTAACCTCTGTATATGATTTGATTAATTTTAAAATGTATCGATTATGATTATTTCATAATTGCAATTTGAATTTTACTGTCGATCAATGCGTGACACTTAAATAAACTTGGATTTATCTTACAGATTTACCAATGTACGAATTTAAAGTTTTCTTAACTATCGGGGAGTTTGCATGGGGCCTAGCTTGGGTAGGGTCGGAGAGTCTCGCAGATGTTGACGGCCCGGTGGTTCCAGTGAGTGAGTGCACAGGGACCTGATAATTAATTACATAATAATAAAATAATTAAATATTTTATTTAAGTGTCACACATATTTTACATAACACATCACTTACATAATAAAAATACACACATGCAAAATATGCCCAGCCATGCTGACTTACGAGACACTACTTAAAATGTATATATATTAAAACATCGAATCCATTAATGATTACATCTTTATTTGGACCTAAACTAAGGTGTGAAGAATAAATTAACATGTTTTAGGGGTTTAGATCGACTCTCGGTAAACATGACACACACAATGATTACATTGTATAATACGAGCATTAGCTATAGGTTGGCATTTTTTTTACCGAAAGTCGACCTAAACCCCTAAAACATGTTAAATTACTCTGAACACCTGAGTTTATGTCAAAACATAGCTGTATCAAATTATCATGTCCCTGTGATTGAGTGGGGATGAGTGACCTGGTTGTGTACGATGTATTACAACCCTTATACGCTCGTATGAGGTTGTTATTTTTCATGTACACTTTTTAGGCGCTATATTCAAGAAGCTCCATGCACACAGTTTAACGAGTATTAAAACGTATTTGTTTACACTTCCAGTCACAGAACTTAATGATGTTTTGGACTTCAAGTATGATACTGAAAGCAAGCTCAAATAAAACCTGATCAACATAATACAACGCCATAGTTACTCATCCTGTTTGTCAAGAACGATGTGACATAGAGGTCCGATGACAGTTAATCCCTGACGAAGGGCTAAGCCTGAAAGCTTGGAAAAAGAGTGACTTTTTAGTTTGTTAATATTATTGCGTTCCCTATGGGAACATGTGTTTATAGACAATTAGAATTGTGTAAATACCAATTGGCTAGTGAGTGGTTGACAATATGTATAACATATAGAAACTATGACTTTTACTTCCCGAAGATCCCCGTACCACTGCCTAAATGTGTTACTACCAATTTTAATCTAATTAAATTACACCTCCTTATGTATCTACTCCATAACGTAGTGTAATGAGAGATCTGATTTTAATTAGATCGTACCGATTTAAAACTGTTGTTTATTTCCTGTATGACTATATCTTTGGTAAGTCATTTCTGAAGACAAACTCACACTTAATGGGACTTGTATTTGACTGATTAAGACAAAATAAAAATTATTAAAAAATAACAATATGGAGCAGCCTGTAAACGCCAGGGGTACTAGACAAGATTTCGGACCACGAACCCCATATTGTTATACTGTTACTCTAACCTATTAACATCTACCTTGGGCATGTTCGTTTTTACATGTGACATTTACGGGTATGGATCCTGGCGGACCTGCACATGTTTATGAACGTCTGAAAGCAGCATCAGATTATATTACTAGTTGCGACCTTATTTCATAAACGAACATCTTTGGTCCGACCGGTTCAACCGTTGAACGAAGGTAATATCAAAAAGGGAGGTTACTGTACATACGGAAAATCACACTGGAACTCTCTAGTGTTGTGCCTTTAGAGTACCAGGGATACTTAATTAGATAAGAACAATAGTATGAGCACTTAATATATTACTTATAACATATTCTAGAAAACAAAATTCGGCAGTAGGCGTCATGTATATATATGTGTGGCTTGTTTTCATTTTACTTAAACGTACAATCGATTGTGTTCCTTAAATAATGTTAACGACAGCAGCACAGGTGTGCGTCCTCGTTATCTATACCTGTGTACATAAGTACCTTGTACCTGACTGTGCCAGTATGTACCTGCACACATGTACAACTTACCTGTATAATTCACCTGTTAGAACATAGCTCCTTCCTGCGAGTTGAAGGGGCGGAGGCACGCTTTTATTTTACCTAAAATAGATTTTTAAGGAACCTTATATGTTTCATCGTACGTTGTACGACCAATGTACAAAACATCGTCACGTTCTTATTTAGATAAATTGATGTCAGCTCGTGAAATGAAGTTTCCGGAAATGGACACCTGCATATAGTCATGTGATCGAGAGTAACCTTAATTTTGAAAGGACATTGGTGATGAAGCTGAGTGGACATTAGCTTGACCATGGCATGAATCATTCCTTAGACTGACCAGGTAAGACATGTCAAGAAAAGCTATCTTTCTAGCACAAACATAAATTCGGTTGAACTTTGAGCCACCATGGTACGATCGACATTTTGTCAATAAATATGTCGTCAAAATTTGTCAGCTTCATAAAATCAGTTTGGTGATTTTCTAAGTGGTGATGTTGTTGATGCCGAAAGTGTTTATACTTCATTTTGAAGATGTTTTGTCAGAAACAAATAAATGCTAATGAAAAACTTTATGCAATATCTATTTTGTACTGCAAATAAAATGCACAATAAAAAAAAAAAATAGAGCATGCTAACAATGCTAATAAAATATTTGTCAAGCATAGTCCGCTTAACACATATAAAGACCTTAGCGTTGATAACTTGTACAGCGTACACTGTATGTACGTATGTGTTAGAAACAAATCCTCGACAGTATAGTTTGTAAATCAGTTGATAAAAAGTTTTTAAAAAATGTATTGTTTTGTGTTCAATCCGAATAAAAAAAAAAGTATATTTATCTCGTTAAGCTGACAAATCTTGGTACGTTTGGCTGTGTTATCTATTCTTATGTACATAAGCTCCCCGGTTTTTGATTACGACTTCTTGCACATTCCGTGTAACGCTTTTTAATTACTTCTATAACATCCGCATTCAATGTTAGTGGTCGGCTCCACATCACATCACAGATTATATGCCTGTATACCACGAGGACATGAACATTTAGGCAAAGTGTTCGTATTTAAATATTTTTTATGAATTATTATTAGACGTGAACACTCAATATCCGTAAGACCAGGGCACCATAGATAAATCGCGTGGCAGGCGTCTAAAAATGTTTCCTGCACCCTAGTGTCATAAACGTAAGGGGAAAGTCGGGTAACCTTTGGTCAAAACTGTTAAATAAATGATTGTTTCTGATTTTTAGCTCACCTGCCCGAAGGGCAAGTGAGCTTATGTTATGGTGCAGCATCCGTCGTCCGTCCGTCCGTCCGTCGTCCGGTTGTCCGGCGTCAACTTTTTGCTTTAAACAACTTCTTCTCAATAACCAAAAGGCCCAGGGTACTGATATTGGGCCTGTAGCATGCTGGGATGAAGGACTACCATGTTAGTTCAAATGAATGACCTTGATCCACTTTCAACCTAATGTCCTTATTCAACAATCAAGGTCAGAGGCGTCATATGTTTAAATCTTTTAATAGGTTATTATGAAATCTTAAGATTACAAGTGTTAGATTAATAACAGGTGAGCGATGCAGGCCCATTGGGCCTCTTGTATTTTGAAATATTGGCCACTGTGTATAGGAAGCCATTACAACAACACAGTATAATTGTTTAATGAGCACAGACGTGTAGTCTAATCTGCTTTCTTGATATACGGAAGAGGAATCTTATAAGATGTTATAACTAGTGTCTAATTCTTCTTTTATTATATAAAATAGAACATGCCAAAACTAAACGACCATCTGTCCATGATATACGTGTATCTCCCACGACTAGCTTCAGGTTCGTTTTACTATTTATAGCCAAATCATCCCACACGTTATTGTGTCTACACAGGTACACTCGTCCTTAGATCTCGGGTATACGCATCCACTTGAAAACTGACTCTATTGAACCGAGTTTAAACACGAACCATAATCAAATCATTACATGTTGCACGTCCTCGAGAAACACATATATGTATACAGAGAGTATAACTGTTGCATTTCATGTCAGGTAGACCTGCCGTTGGTACCTGAATCACAAGGAAAAGAATTTACGTCGGACTTCGGGCAGTGTTTTGTCTTTTTTTTATCATCAAAAAGCGAAATTCATGCAAAAATTGTTTCACACATGAATTAGTTTTATTTTTTTCCAACTGAACAATTTCGTTTCTTTTATTTACGAAATTCACAAAAGATATTGACGTATTTTTTTTATATATTTTTTTTTTCATAATAAAATTATGTGGTTATATTTCAGATAAACACCCTGGAAATGTGGATGTGTCTATATTGTGTTTTTTTCATTAACATATCTGCAAAAATCGCTTTTATTTATCATCTTCGGCGAACAAAAAGTTCTGAGTTATACCAACCAATTTATTTTCCCCCCATTTGAATGAATTTTAATTTCGATGAATTTTCGAAGTTATCGACCGTGATGGCCTTGGTTTTTCCGGTTTGAAGAGGTTACTGAGTCCTATCAAGGATAACATCCACGGGTTTTGGCTTCATACACAAGTGATTTTAGCCTGGGTTTATTCACAACTTGTACGTATTTTCTGTGTGTCGAAGAAATGTATATCGAACGCGAAAAAGGAACCCTTGTATTTCGAAATTGTCTCTTTCTAGATGTAGAATTTATCTACAAATTGGGTTTTCAATATGATCGCTTCCCTACCAAGGCATAATGTAACTGTTCTCTTGACTGCCTGTTCCTTTAATCACAAAGTCGTACATGATCAGTACAGTTATCTTAATTGACGTGTTTATATAGTAGTAAACAGATTATTGTCATATTTTAAAAGGTTTCAACAGTGTCCTATATCCTACAGGTCTGACTGTCAGGGTATGTACGATGCCCCTTCCTTCTACCACTGAGCTCGCTGTTGTTTCTATGAATTTGGAGAGGGCCTAGTAAGTTGTAAGAACTTGTTCCTAATCCCTTTGACTATTCACTGTCAATAACATATGTTTGAATGAAATCAATTGTTATAATTTCTAATAATAGAATGGCACTTTACAACAGTTTTATGAAACAAACATTTCTTTTCTCCATTTGGTAAGGTGATTCTTTTATTTCCCCTACCTCACTGCTCACAGGTTTGTCCTCACTTTCTTTCTTCAAACGTATCGTAAAGCTTACCATACATGTTGAAGAACCATTTCTAATCTTTTAGAAATGGTTCTTCAACATGCTTGCCGCATGTATGGTAAGCTTTACGATACATTTAGCTTTTTCTTCTTCTCAATTTACTAGGTTTTCCACTAGGTTCCTGGTCTGTATATGGCTGGTAAAGTTTGTTGATATTATTGAGGGGGTCGGATAGCGATTAGTTGTCCTGCTACAAATGTTGAGAGATGTCAGATATTAATGCTACCTTAATTGTGAAGGTGTCGGGTGGTGATATCTAATTCTGCTTCATGTATTAATTGCCAAGGGGTGTCAAGATACTGATGATTTATCCTGCTCATATTAGCAAGGTATTTCGGATTGTAATCGTTTATTTTTACCACGGACTAATAGATATAAGATAGCAATCTAATCCGTAGTTCCACTATACCTGTGGTAGGTGCCGGAAATTCATGCTTAATTCTGATATAAATTAAATCACAGCTTGTATTTGAATGTCTCAAACTTCCGGTCTTCTTTCGTTATCAACCTATCTATTCCTCAATTTCCTGGTAATATCTCAAGTACACAATTTGCTCACCGAAAACCGGCTTCTACATTAAGCCCTGTATGATGCCGGGCAAAACACGCCAAATTGAAACTGGCGACTTTTAGTTTTCACAAAAACAAAACAAAAACAATCCCATTAACTATTGTGATAATTCAAATGCTCAGGTTTGATAAATACAAAACTACACAGCATTCTATTAAGTTGATCACTCTTTCCTTGAAAGGAAATCCTTTTATATATGTACAAGTCCTCCAGTGCATCTGTACAAACTTTGTGCTGGTATGATATTTACCTAAGAATCAGTCCATACCTCCGAAACTACTTGAAGTAAATATCCATGGAAATATGTATTGAGCAAATAATTTACTACTCTCAACTATCTGGACAAACTATAACAACACAACAGCCTGCTTCAATATGTATTAAATACGCCTTTCTTACGGTAGTGTTAAAGTGGATTAAGGAATGCAAAACCATCAAATGTTACGCAGTGTTATAAAACATCCAACACAATTCTCTCAGTGGCGTAGACAAACAAACCATCGGGTCGCCCAACTTCACGAGATAATAACAAAAATACACATTTAGTGTTTACTTCGTTCGGCCTTTTGCATCGGGTTACTAACATTTTTAACAGGCGTTTACTTACTTCCTTTAACTCCTTCTCCCCTAAAGACACATCTGAACTCTTCCAACTCAAAGGTTGGAACAGTTCATGATGAAATTTCAGGGGTAATTGAGTTAAATATCTGACAACTCCGCTGTATATTGAATCAACATTAACACGAAAAGAAAAAGGAGAGAGTTATTGTACAACTGATTGAAGTTGACCATTCCATGCCAATGTTCCTAATTTAACGTTGACTTTACTTTGTATGATGGTGAATGTCTATATTTTACAGATCTGGATTCTGAAATAGAAAACTTCGGTCTCCATGAATAAACCGAATGTCAGCTAAACCTTACAGTACCACAAGTCTTCCCGTCAGCAACACGACGATACCCATGGGGGGAACGCTGGGTAGGTGATGAGTCATACAAGGAAAAACATACAGCAAACGTTATTTATAGTACATATCTTATTTTGGCGAATGGACACGTTTTTAAAGGATTGTTTCCAGTAGTTATTTATCTTTTTATTTTAAGTTAATCGAGTGCAAGCCATCCATTTCATACATCCTGGTTTACTTATTCCAGTACGAACTTTTATTGTTGTGAGAGAAATTCTACTATATAAAGGCGTTTGACGATGTGTCACTTTAATGCTTGATAAATGAATGCGAGCTCCGATGTTTTAAATCTTATGTGTACAAATTTGTTTACTATTGGTAACATATTATTCAAAACAAAACTATGCACACAATTCACACGGCAATGTCCTTGTTCAATTTAGATGATGACAGCAAGTCAGAGGGTCTGACGATAGGTCTGACCGTGGTGGGGGTTCTTGTGTTCATCCTAGCAGCTATTGGATGTACTTACATGTATCGTACAAAACGGTGAGTAAAGATATGGGAAGCATAGGAAACACCAATGACCAAATCCGAGAGAGAAGTAAAGGAGGATTGCATCAGCCAACTCCGAGACATGCATTAAGGATGTTATTTGAAATATATCTTTATAAACTTCATTACTGAGATATGCATTCCCCATTTACATAGAAGGACATGATCTTCTTTTAAAACATATTGAAATAAAGTAGCTGTAAAAGAAATTTACAAAATCTCGCTAGAGGTCCCATTCGACCCTCAAGCAAAATACCCTTGCTCCATCACACTTAACCACGCGCTCTCTCATTCTAATATCTTTATTTCTTGTAAAAATCGCAGACTGTACATAAAGTAAACAAATAACATCATAATCGCTTGGGAAATAAAACAATCGTCACATATAGCCTTTCTTTTTGTTTCAAATTGTGGCAATAAAATAAGTCTAAAACTAAATATGACAACTTCGTTCTGAAGTTTTAATGTGTTTTTTTATATTTAATAAGGGGACGTCTGGTTTACCCGGCCCTCATTAAAGCAGACTGAAATAGTGTTTTAATCGTCAGTCAGTGCTAAAGATAATTTTTTACTTAGAAATTTCCTAATTATGTACTCTTTTAAAAGTTCAAAAGTAAATATAAAACTTTTTATTTATATTTTGGCTATCTCCGTTTCATTTGGCATTTTCTAAAAACAAATGTCAAATTATACAAAAGAAATGAGTCCTGAGCATGATATAGAACCATATGTATGTGTTTACCGTGTTTATCGTTACTACAGTCACGTGAATTAAATTGCTATTTTTCTATTTGTAGAATGTTCCGAATGTGTGATTTTTGGAATCGAAAGCGCCGGCGAAGACTATCTTCCGGAAGTAGTCAGCGCGCTCTCGAGGATGACGGTACATCAATTGACATTCCCGGAAGCAGACGAGAGGCTAACTTATTCTCAATAGATGATGAGGAACCTAATCGGGATAACGATGACGGTTATTTTTATGACGAGGTGTTCGAAAGATCGGCATTTGTCGACGCAAAAACGAATGCAGCTTTAAAAGAATTGTATGTCACTGGGGAAGTACCGGACCTGGACTTTAAGGAGCAGAGATATTAACATGATTGACAATATTCGATAAATCTCAGTGTTTCAAGAGTGTGCTAATACTCGAATAAAACCACCCGTATGCTGTTTAGCGGGATGGGCTGTTACAACATGGAGCACCCGCTAGATATACAGCAGCCTCGAATTCCAAGGGCTGCACCCCTGGAATATGCCATGATAGATAAAAGTCTCTTTACGCGACTTCTTCCGTGCGGACGATACAATCAGACTTATAATGTTTCTTTGATTAAGATCAAAGCAATCACGCGGCAGCATAACGTTATTGTTTTTTAGGTTTTGAGGTTAGGTGGTTCTCTTCTGCTATATTCTAAAGACACGTATCAGCCTGAAGATTGGTAAAGGTTTTATACATATACCTGAAACTTGTATAAAGAGGACATATTGTTTTCGAGGATGACTACAGCATACATTGTATATATTGCATATCAATTGATGATTATTTAGTATCATTAATATTTTATCGTTATCAGAACACCTCAAGATCATTTAGGGGAACCATACTGTTACGGGTATTGTTCCAAAGGCCCCAGTCACGGCAATACGAAATTCCATCCTTGGGAATTAAAACGATATCGTATTAAAACAAAAAGATAAGCTTAAATATATGTAACTCCTTGTTCGTTTTGTAGAAAAATTAATATACATTTGATGAGGGGCGGAAAAGAAAAAAAAAATGACGAAGTTCATTTGACCTGATTTTGTATTATAATATTTATATATAAAGTACTGCATTGCTATTGAAAGACATGTTCTTTACTTGAGTACGCTATGCGTTTGTCCCTTCACTGTTTCATGTATACGCTGTAGTATAATGGCGTGTGCGTTGCCATTCATTAAATCAAAGTCTACACTCTATTTCACATACACAATTTGATTGATAACGCTGGCTGATATAATGTGTGTACTGACCTGTATGTACTGTTGATCAAGGATTGTCAACCGTCTGAAGGTGACAACTAGAATAGCGCTTTAAATTACTCGTGGAGGTTCAACACTGCACCCGTTTTTCCAAAAACAACTATTAAATGTTTGAGGGAAAATGTAAAACATTTGAAAGAAAAAAAGAATTAGAAAAAGTCGATTTAAAAGTTTTTAAATCATAAAGCCTCTAAAAAAATCCCCTTTAAACCTTTATCACCCTAATGGTATATGAACAAAAAATGTCTTCGTGTTTGGTCTTAACGTATCAACTAAATTCTAAATTGCAATATATCATTTGGATTTTATATAATTTTCATGTGACGTGTTATTTTTTTCACATAAACACATTATTGAGATCTCTTGTTATTTAAAAAGAAATGTGAGATGAATTTATCCATTCAATGTTGTATATGCTTAGAAACGGAGCTGATCCTTTTTTGTCCAGAAAGTCAATCGATTAAAGATTTATTTTAATATATTCACACAAACACTGCATGCATGTATTTTTTCTTTTTTCGATGAATATAATAAAATTATGATCAATCCAAATATAATTACAATGAGTCATAAAGAAATAAAGTTGTATATGCTCTTTGCATCAAGAAAAATGACCTGCTGCTAGACATGTTACTTGTTACCAATAACTAATTCATAATCAGAAAAGACTTGAGGTCCTGGGGCGTTAAAGGTCATTGTTGGCCTTAAAAAAAAACATTTTAACTTTAATTCATTTACCATATTTTTATAAACATCAAATTGGTTAATTAGGGTTATCTTTCCTGGTGCCGATCGTTTCCAATGCGCATACGTAGATGCCCTACCATAGCAACAAAATTGCGCTGCTGTGCAGGAACAGTCCAAATATGGTGTTTTTGGACAGTTAGCATGCATAATTGAAAGCCTCCTCATGTGACGAACAAAAACTTCTTTCGACGAATGAACAGTGGTATAACAATGATTAGACACGTCAAATATTGATTTGTTTGGTGCATGCGGAGGATTTCAAAATTTGAAGAACATTCGACTCATAAACACAAATGAACTATTGTCATTATTGTACCATTGCTGCTGGTATGCACATGTTGCATTAATCTTTAACAAATGACAAATATTCCTAAACATTGACATGTATATATTTTATCATTATCAATAAAGTTTGCAAAACCAGCAAAATGTATATGGTATGACATAATTTGTGTATTTATTTTTATTTTTATGATGAACAATTTTGTTAGTGATTAAATCAACAAATTTACAATATCTCATTCGAGAGTTCTTTCCCTTTATGTATAATTTAAAAAGGAATAAGCAATATCAAAGACGTATATACATCTCCATCCTCGATATCCAGGGGTTACGCTCACTTCCGCTCTCTACAACCCTGGAATATGTCATGGCAAAATTGAAGGCTCGGTGTGCGCCACCTTGTAAATGAAACAAGAAGACTAATTCGATCCTTTGATGTACATCAAAAGAATCTCGCGGCCATGTAACGGTAAACATTGACAGGCTTTGAAGTTGGGCGTCTCTCCTTTGTAATCTTCATTGGAGAGGTATCGGCCTAGCGATTGGTCAGTTTTTTTTACCTGAGACCAATCAAACAGCTATCTTCGTGCCTTCAATTTTGCCATGACATATTCCAGGAGTGCAGAGAGCGAAAGTGAGCGTAACTCCTGGATATCGAGGATGATACATCTATGGTAATATTTACATCTTCTTATCGATATTATAAACAAACTTAACTGCTGTTTGATTGACTATTCTTTAACCAATCTAAATAGTCCAGCGGCGGTTGTTCTCATTAATTTAAGAGTATTTATTATTAATTTCATGAATAATTTAGTCACATTAAATGTGAAGCGACTAAGCATTTTGATCTTACAAAGACTGTATTTTTGGTAATCGATTAAATGACGAGAAAACATTTGTTAACTTCCATTTTAATAAGATAAGCATTAGCTTTTTTTTTCGGACTATCAATAAATTTAATATATTTATGCCTATTTGGTTCGTGTGAATAGCAAAACAAAGACAATATTGCCATGAAGAACAAGGATTGTTATGATTCCCCTCTTACAAAAACTCAAAACCTCACGTGTAACTACTGTTTTGAAGAAAAAAACTTAACTGAAAATATATGCAGAGAATCGTTCAGATGATTTAATTTAGGAGTTGCAGTGAGTTTCTTTGCTAGATCAGCTACATCACCAGTCTATCCTTATATAATGAAGTAACATGAAATCTCACTGAATTAGACACGGAATCTATTTGGGATATAAGTACATTTTTAAATCTATTAAAATAGTGATTTTCCTTAGAACGCAAATGTTTCAGAGATTGCTACATACAATTTCTTTTAAATTCTACCTGTTAAAACATGAAATTGAGTGCACACAATCATTCATAGTAGAAAGAAAGAAGCTGTTTATATTGCTCTTCTGGAATGAAATATAATTTATATGTTATTATTTCTAAAAGCAGATCTGAAATATTGATATGTTGTATATGTGTTGTTATTTAAGGATTGAACGTCTGTCAGATTGCAGTTACAGCCAATATGAATGCAATCTGGGTGATAGATAGATAGAATGACGTCCATTAGAACGTCAATGATTATTATATTGTTATATATGTATCGTTATTTTTACATTTCCTCATATAACTGTCTTTTATTGATTAGTCGGATAAGCTTATATTTCCTGCTGCCGCAAAACCTCCCTGGTGCAATTTTTGGAACAGCCGCAGACGGCCATTATCGGACCGAAAACTTTCCAAACAACGGTCGCCATTAAAACATGTAACCAGGCGACAACTGTTTTATGCAGTTAAATGCTCTAATTATATGTGCAGAACATTCTAATACAAAAGTAACTTACCGCCCTTTTCTGGATGTCTTCATTGTCTGCAAAACCCGTCAAATGAGACTAGTATGAACTAAATAACAACACAATGGCGGCTATCGTATCGGTTGGAGTGGTTGCTAACGCGGAAACCATGGTCATGTGACCAGATAATGCAGACTGCAGTTAATGTTCAGTAACTGCAGGCTAACTTTCCAGAGTTAAATGAGAAGGACATATGTATGTAGTATGTGATTATTGCATTTTTAGCACCTATTAAGCGCTATATTGTTCCATATTTATTATTTCTAACAACGTCACAGTCAAAATTGTTTTAACCCTTGTACCAGACAAAGTGACAACTTCTGATCACAATACATTTTAGTTATGAGGCAACGTAAAGATAATGCATTAATCCGGAACCCGGAAAACTGTATACCCTTTTCATGGGCGATGCGTCTATCTTCAATAGACACTGCTGTGTTAAGCTCGAACATTCAAGTGTTATCTTTGTGTATTTAGAATGAAACCAAAATATGTTACCCATGATTTTACTTATTATACAGCCGTAAGATATAAATAACAAATCAGAATATATATTCATAATTTGAACATATTGAACAAATACATTACATGTAGCTATTAAAATGGTACACTAGCTATAAAAGCCGAAAACATGGTTCAGATGAAAATTGGGAACAGCGTGATCGTCAAATGCTAACTGTAGGCAATAACTGTCACTAATCAAACACTATAAGACTCTTGATTTTCCCGTTAAAAAAGGATTAAACTGATTTAAAACAAAAACAAAAACAGCAACCCTCCCCCAATAATAAATTCATGACTTTATGAACGTAAACCATTTAAATCCATAATTCCTGAAACCTGCTTGGGCTTTTTGTAAGGACGAATTACGTTGACAAAGACATGGTTTTTCAGTTTTTCTAAATATGACGTACATTGTATTCCTTAATATTTGTGGTTTAAAAAGTCGATGTGAATACAAAGGATATTCGTTAAACAACCGAATGTCTTCTTTATATTTGCTTCTTGCAAAGGTACCATGATATGAGAGACTTGAGGATAATTGTTAAATGACACTGATCCAATGGCGTATACTGAGATAATTTCCTCATACAATAGACCGATAAAATAGTTCTGTATTTGTTAGTATGCTCGTTTTCTCCTTTCAAATTTTACCATGATGTTTTTACATCTTTCCCTTCTTCAGCGTAGTTAACTCTGACTGCGTATAAATTAAAAATGAAAATGAAAAAAGGCTCGGCGGATTGATATCTGTTTCAAATATGGCGCCATTATTGTTTGGTTCCTTCAACATTTAGAAATATGGAACATATTTGAGATCCATTATGTTTGATTATGCAACAAGGGGGGAGGGGGGGGGGGCTGCTGGCAAACTTCTTAATCCATGGGTGCACATTCAAACAATGGGGGCTTCCTTTTGCGACGTTCGACCGCGCAACTACCAGAGCAGTGTATCAATGAATAAATATGTGCCAACTTATATTACTTAATTAAACATTCACAGGCGACAAGACGGAAATAGTGTTGTTTTTTAAATTTACCAATACATCGATGTAGATTTCCTGGAACTATATCATCCTAGCAACCAATGTACCATTGTAGCCACCCGCTTCGAATGCTGTTTTCTTTGTATATCATTTGAATATTATTTATGATGTACATATAAGGATTGACCTGCATTTTGACGGCGTATACGGTAGTATAAACGCAGTTGGCAACGAACATATTCTTTATGGCGCGCTATCGCGCAACATAGAATTTGTTCGTTGCCAACTGCGTTCATATTACCGTATACGCCGTCAAAATACAGGCCAATCCTTAAATGTATCTGTGTACCAAGTTGTTCATGCTTCTATAATAATTCGTGATGGAAATTTATGTTAACTTACTAAGTTAAATATTATAATAACAGCAGTTATTCCCCAAAGATTTATTTATATATGACTTACTTACTGTTACCTGTCTGCCCATTCCCCTTCGTACATTTGCATGATGACGCACAGTAATCTGAAAACAAACAGTCAAGTTGCCGCACAGTTCGACGAAATATTTTTGACGATATTTCATTAAATACAATGCTTTCACCGACACAATGGATGTGTGTAATGTAGATACATCTTTATTTAGTTGTAGGTAGTACAATATGTGGAGGAAAGTAATACAAATGTTAATTTAGACTCGTGATACAATGTAGTTATCACTCGTACATTTCGCCGATACAAGACGGCGTGTTTGCAAGTCTAGAAGAAATATTGACCCTTCTAGGAATGTTTTCTGTGGCTTAAACTATTGCTGAAAATGTGAGGAATTGATCCAAAAAGCCCCAAGAACATACAAGCCTCTGAAGTAAGGAAAATATGAAAATAAAATCACCTGCAACAGAAGCCCACTTGCTGTGATCACCGCCTGCCTCGTAGCAATAGACCTTTCTCATTTTTGGGTAGACCTAGCACGGAGCGTGGACACAGAGACCTAGACAAGTAAAAACAGGGGTCATTTCAAAAATAATTGTATTTGGAACGTAGCGTATAGAGTATGTCAGAGTGTGTACACACGCATGCACGTGACTACAGGTAAGCGAACAGGTAACATCATATGGAGACACTGATAAGAAATTATGTTATCGGTAACCACAGTTATAGTCTTTTTCGTGGCTCAATGCGGCAGGTATGTGACCGTGGTAATTGATATTTCAATATCTCCGTTAAGGATCTCACCCGGGACGTCTTTTGAATTTTTCTGGCGCCGTTTGAGTTAAGGAGGCTCCACCCTTTCGTAATTAGCCAGCAGAATTCAATGAAGGTTTCACATAATGGTTATGTCACTATGTAGAAATGATTTTATGAAAATCTAAGCATTCCGATAAACTGGGGATTTTGTTGTAAAAAATACCGAAAAATTGAATTATTTTCAAATTTAACACTTTCACATTTTTTGAGCGTGTGGCATTGTTCAAACTATAACAACAATAAAATAATGAAAAGAAACATTGCTAATCAACCCTAAAAATATTTTATTTATCATTAAATATCTACAACATGTTACAAAAAGCGTTTTTTATTGAAATTGTTTGGATAAAAGTTACTTAGTACAAGATAAAAGTAAACAGGACACATAGTTTCATACAAAAAGAGTGAAAACTTGAACCAAATACACACGAAGTCTTTATAATTAATTTATTTTATATTTTACAATAATTTTGATCCTGGTGAGAGTTATCTACTTTGAAAAAAAAACGGAACTTTTTGCAGAGGGATAGAATTTATACAATGACCCTTATTTTCTATAATGTACCAAAAACGACGGAAATGAATTAAATTACTATA